AAAATGTCCTCACATAATTCCAATTCAACAAACTTTGTGGCGGAGCACTTGTTAAGGACATATGTATCCTTACTCTCAGAGAGAATTGCGGTGGCCCCTTTTGCTTCTTTGTTAGTCTTTAGCACGATAGCCCCACAGTCAAATGATGCAAAGTTAAATCGTTCTTTCAGTTTCGATATATCTGGGCTTTCGTATTGTGAAATAAATCCTTGCGGATCCGTATTTTCAAACACGGCGCCAATGTCTCCTTCCCCGTCAAGCGACTCGATGGCATTGTTCGATGGACTGTTCGGTCTCTTTTTTTGCCTTAACTTTGATTCGCTGGAACCCTTGTCTTGAGTTTTCCAATCATCAATTGAGATCATCTTACTTTGCTTAGAGGATGATGGCGTGATGCCATCAGACTTTGGTTTCCTTTGTTTGCTTTTAGCCCCATTCTTCTTTGATATCGTGTGATTGATTATGGTTTCCGTGCTGGTCGAAATTGAAGTTGACAAACAGGTTGTTTTTGAATCTATCAGACTCTGACAATGTGTGTTTGCCCAGATCATTGTTTTCAAAGCTGGAGAAACCTGACATTCATCACCGTAGTTCATCTTCGCAGGATCCATCGTATGGGTTGAAGATAAGAACGGGCTAATGGACATGATCACGAAATTCAATGTCGACCAAATTCCTGCCCACCACATATCGCTGCGTTAATTAAGGGGATGTCTTGCTCCTATTGGGAATGCTGAAATATATGTAACCTCTTGTGCATACAGACTCGAACCTTTTTTATTATTATTATAGAATGAGGGTAATGATATCAGTCGGTATCAGTTATAAAAAAAAAAAATAATAATAATAAAAAATAGAAACAACAGAGAAAAGCCAAAAAAAAACCGTGGGTAACGTGCAAAGTTACCTCATATATACTGTATATTTCTGATAATCTTTTCTCCGATTTGCTGGAGATTATTATATATGTGAGTAAATAGGTCACGAATTAAATACGTACTGTTGTTTTCTTGTTTGGTCACCTGACCGAATTTAGATCTTTCGACAATTGGAATGTTCTCAACTCATGCAAGCCTTTTGTTATATTTATGTTAAATCGACTAATATCATGAATTCTTTGTTTGCTTTTATGCATGTCGAAGTTTTTTTTTTCTTCCTCCATGCATATTCCGAAAGCGCGAAATTTCTCTAGAATTATGACCAATTTAGGAATAAGAATATACACACAAATTTGTCTCGATCTGACAGTGTATTCTGATAGCATTTAAGGTTTCCGGTAACCGCATGAGGAGAATAAATTGTGACTCGGATATTTTTCATGGTTCGTAAGCTTTTGGGATTTGAGTTTCGCTAATTTACTTTCACGATAGAGTAATATGATATCACGAGTTTATCCGTGTCAGCCGACATGTGACGGCAATACATAAAAACTGGATTTCACACGTGCTGTCAATGCCACAACTAAGTTAATGGTTGGTCGAAATATATATATATATATATATATATATATGTATGTATGTATCCTTCTCTTTTCGTCACGTATGCAATAACATGAAATTCATTATTAATTAAACGATTTCAGCCTTTAATATTCACAATGTTTAAGGAGGAAGAAGAAGCAAAGTTTCTTTTTTTAAACAGTAATTTACGTATGCACATAAACACACGATAAGATTGGGCGGTTTATGCGCCAAATTAGGCTGTGCCATAAATTCATCATATACATCTTGAGCTCTAGCCGTAAAAGAAAAGATGACGAAACTTTTGCGTCTTCAAGTTGGATTTTAAAATCAAAAAATCATCAGCCTACGAGAAATTTGATGAACCCCTTTAATCTTTCATCGCCAGATTTGTTACCGTTTCTTGTTTCAGTACCAGGTAACAATTTCATTTTTGCCAGCATCGTGCGACGTCTCCATTTCGCGATTTCAACCACGTTTTCGGGATTTGCAATAAATAAAAAAAAGGGTCCCCTTCGGAATGGTTGCAATAATAAGGTTAACAATGTTTGAATGTATTCTTGAGTAACACCAAATTTACGACCGTGTAACCGTTGATAATTAATTATAGTGTAACTTGCTCTTAACCAACCATTTTTCTTAACTACTTCTTTCATAAACTATCCTGCCTGCATAACTCGTTCCTTCCTTACTACACATGCGTACTGCCTTTATGACTCCAATAGACAGTCAGTCAGCAAAGCGAAACATCAAATGTCTATAACCCTTCATTGCGTTAGATTGTAAAACTTCTCTCGTCTTTTTTCTTATTCATCAACTTTTTATAAAGTTTCTAAAATTCCAATTCATCCTTACGGCAAAATTACCTCATGTCTAAATATTCGGCTTCATCAAATATCTCACGCAATCACAATGCAAGCATTGTAAACTCTCCTTCACCAACGAATGAAATAACCGAACCCGTCTCCGATTCGGAGGATCCCCCGACTTCGCCCCTGTCTCAGAACATTCCTTCACCTACTTTCCCGGTTTCGGCGAGAAACTCGAAACAAAATTTTTTTTCTCTATTCAAGAAAAAGGACGGTAACACTATAAATAGTGGCCCTGCAAACCGTTACTCTGCACCACCCCAACAACGAGTGGTTCTCGATCATAATAACAATATGAACACGGCAGAGGAAGCGACACACAATATCCACCACCACTTCGAGGCTCTCCATCATGTACCACAGTCAATAATTGGTAATGCTAGTGTGCCTGACTTTATTGCAATGAGCACTGATAATGCATCAGATGATGACGATGATGATATTACGAAGAGGGAACAAGAAAACGGATCCGCATATACCATTTCCGGGGGTAAACCTTCGACAAACTCTCCTAAAAAAAACAGTATAAGAAAAGGCAGCATAGTTTCTCAGAAAGAAGATCTGGGATTTAAGGTAAAACGAATTCGTCCCCCTTGCTTATTGTAATGCGTTTGAATCTTGCAATGTCCTTCTCACCCTCTTCAGGTGCAAGATATTGTAATCATTTTGTTGAGGTTACATCCCTTCAACCCCTGGCGCATGCATGCCCTTACTGAACCATCTCTCTCCCTTTATTTAAGCAGAATACAATGAAGAATACCATGAGAAAAACCTCCACGTTTTTTAAAAAATTCGGTAACAAGGTAAATCCAAGTTTAACCTTTAAGCATTGTTTTTTTCGTGGAGAAACTCGTCTCATTTCCTCTTGGCTTAGCAAAACTCCGAAAACAACTTTACAAATGACGGTCGTTTGCCAATTCCCGATTTTCATGATGATGATTCGAATTTGCGGAACCCGACATCCAACGACCTGCAACATCTTTCATCCAATACATTGAATTCGGATGTTCTTTCAGATGAATTTTCGCTATCCGAACAATTGGTTTCGGCATCTTCAGACGTTTCTCTTTCAGACAAAAATTTTACTGTAGACGAACAAGATGTTCTTCAGCGTACACTCCAGGATTACGCTTCTGTCTATGCAAACTTAAACGAGAGTGAGTGTGATTATGGAAATTCCGAATTTCATAAGGACTCGGTGCAAAGCACCAGCAAGGCTGTTACAGATGACATAGGGGCATCTCACAACAGGAGTTCACAGTCCAGAGGTGTGAAGAGCGAGCAGTCATTATTGATTAATAGTCATGAAGGGAATGGCTACAATAAAAGGACCGGTGATAAAAATTTCATGAGTTTGCCTGTGATAAGAAGTGAAAAAAGAAGTGTCGAATCTAAAATGGCCTGGGGAGAACTATCGACAGCTAGTTTACCGCGTGTTAAAGAAGAAGATGATAATGAGAACAACCAAGCATCCATCAAGTCCACGACAAATAAAAATGGTATAAAAAGTCCTTCACGTGAGCATTCGTCGATTCGACAATTTGTTCGTTATCAATGTTTTCTTC